TAAATCTCCGGGCCGTAGCTCGCCAAGCTGAGAAAATTTATAAAGATTGCGGAAAGCCGTCAATAATAGAAGATTTGTTGGGTATAATATCTTCACAGCCAGCCCCTTCTAATGGTATTGAGTTCGATAGTCTTGCTACGGAGAGATCTGTTGCCTCCAGTGTTGGATCATTAGCTCATTCAAATGAATTGAACAACAATTGGGGAGTGTATGGAAAAGCCTGCAAGCTTGATAAACCTTGCACCGTGGATGAAGTTCATCTTCGTAGATTTGATGGTCTATTGGTAAGTAGTTTGGCTCAAAACTTACTCTATATACTATGAAAAAAAAAAGTTTTCCCATCTTTTGTGTTTATGAGTCAGTGGTTTTTTTCTTGGATGAAGGAAAATGGAGGTGTTCACCGATGCGCCGTTGCTAGTATAACAGTTAAAGCTCCTGTTTGTGAAGTTTGGAAAGTTCTAACGTCTTATGAGAGTCTTCCAGAGTAAGTACCGAACACATATATTTATCATATCCGGGCTTCACTGTTCTGACCTTAAGGAGGATTTTCTTGTCAATCTTCTTCAAATATTTGTTGTGTTGGCTTATATATATCTCTTGTTCTTCTGCGTTTATTGTTCATGAACCTATCAGGATAGTTCCAAATTTGGCAATCAGCAAGATTTTGTCACGCGATAACAATAAAGTCCGAATACTTCAGGTATGAGCATTCTCATCCACGGTTACCTTGTAATCAAATTTGGCAAGGACTAGAAGGAATCATTCTACAAGTACTTGTATTGGGTACTAACACTGGAAAAATCTGAAGAGAGAATTTGGTTGCCAAAATATGACTCATAATTTGCTCTTTCATGATTCAGAAAGGCTCTGTATTTAGTCTGGTCTTGAAGATCAAAATTCTGATACTGGCCAAAGCCAATGTTTCTTTTCTTGATTTCAAGAAATTATATAACTAAAACTGAATTCTGTTTTCAGGAAGGATGCAAAGGCCTGCTTTACATGGTGCTTCATGCAAGAGCTGTTCTCGATTTGCATGAGATTCGTGAGCAGGAAATCAGATTTGAACAGGTTGAAGGAGACTTTGACTCGCTAGAGGGGAAATGGATTTTTGAACAACTAGGAAGTCACCACACACTTCTCAAGTATACCGTGGAGTCCAAAATGAGAAAAGATTCATTTCTTTCTGAAGCAATCATGGAAGAGGTTTGGCTTACAATTGACTGAGTTCAGTGCAATCTTTTTTTTTTCTTATTGGAACCACAATGTTTTCTCTGAATCTTTTCAGGTTATATATGAAGATCTTCCGTCAAATTTATGCGCTATCCGGGATTACATTGAGAAAAGAGGAGAGAAATCTTCAGAGTCATGTAAACTGGAGACATGTCAAGTTTCAGAGGAAACATGTTCTTCATCTCGTGCCAAATCAGTTGAGACAGTTTACAATAATGATGATGGTTCAGACCAAACTAAGCAGAGACGGAGGATTCCTGGTCTACAAAGAGACATTGAAGTCTTGAAATCAGAAATTCTCAAGTTCATATCAGAACATGGACAAGAAGGATTCATGCCCATGAGGAAGCAGCTTCGGTTACATGGAAGAGTTGACATTGAAAAAGCCATTACAAGAATGGGTGGATTTAGGAGAATAGCTTTGATGATGAATCTTTCACTTGCTTATAAACACCGAAAACCGAAAGGATATTGGGACAATCTCGAAAACTTGCAAGAGGAGGTAAAGTTTCTAGACATGTTCAAAAATTAAAACCACTGTTGCCATGGTGTTTACAAGAGCTTCTCCCTCTGCATGTGGTTGCAGATAGGAAGATTTCAACAGAGTTGGGGAATGGATCCATCATTTATGCCGAGCAGAAAATCTTTCGAACGAGCAGGTACAAACAGTAAACTCAATTTAAGCTCTGTGTGTTCTTCTCAATCGGATTGGTCTGAGAAACATTTGGTCTGTTGTTTCAGGTCGTTATGACATTGCTCGGGCGCTCGAGAAATGGGGAGGATTACACGAAGTATCTCGTCTTTTAGCATTGAACGTGAGACATCCAAACAGGCAGCTAAATTCTCGTAAAGACAACGGTAACACGATACTGAGAACTGAATCTACTGAGGCCGATTTAAATTCAACGGTTAATAAGAATAATAAACCTTACGTCTCTCAAGATACCGAGAAATGGTTGTACAATCTTAAAGATCTTGATATCAATTGGGTTCAATATTGAAGCATTAATTATGTACATTTCACTATTTGTGTAGTCTTGTAACTCGCAAAGATAAACATGTATTTATGTAAATTGTAACATTGGATTGAAATTATCTGATCTCTTTTTAATGTTTCATCTGTTTTTAGTGTTTATATTTCACTTTGATAAAATAGAGTGAGAGAGCACCGAACAATAAGGAGGATAATAGCAAGGAACAAAGAAGTAAAGGTAAGTCAATGAAATTTGATAGTGATGGTTTTAAGAAAAAACGAAAGTCCCATCATTGTCTTCCTTCAATGTGAAATGAAGTTACACGTAATTAGAAACAAACTTCTTTCTAGGTTTTAGATTATTACAGAACCAAGTCTCAGAGGTCTTGACTCGTGACTGAAGAGAAAGGGTCAAGATATTTGGATGTGAATTGTGATGTGAAAAAGGAAAAAAAATCGAGATTTTAAAAGGGAAAATCAATAGAAAATATAAAATGCATGCATAAATCTAGAAATGATAGGTGTTTAACATTGAAGGCAAACTATGAGACAATCTTGAATCTTACTACTTTATACAATAGCTCTATATGTTATGACTTATAATAATTGGGACCTTCCTCGAGATTTAGACAGACCCTCTAACAGCTGAGAAACATGCATGTAAACAACATTTTTCTTTTTGATATAGATTAATCAGGAGAAATGATGAAAATGTAGCTCTCACTTCAGGATCTACAAATTATATATAGTCAACAAACCCCATTTCACAAGAAGTATCAAAGCAGATAGACAAAAAAGAAAAAAGAATTAAGTAAGAATGTGATATGTCGGTTGGGGGGAATGAAGCCTGGTCCGAGAATCATTTAGGGATTTCACTCTTTAAAATGAATCAATCTACCGATCTTCTTCATGACCTCGAGCCAGACAATATTCCTCTCAACCCTAAACCAAAGCAGGATAACTTTATGTAAGTAGACAGAAGAAGAAGAAGAAGAAGAAGCTAAATAGGTGTATGTGTGAGGCGAATATTTATACATAGGAGAGAGGAGCAAATGACCACAAGACAAAAAAATTCATATTTACTTCTCTTACATTAATTTAGTAAAATTTTGGGGTTTTGGTAACTGTCTTAATATAGTGTGTGTAGGGGTTGCCTTATATAGAAGTTTACAGTGAAATCCGGAGTTGTAAAGATAAAAGTAAAACATACTCCATATGTACATTCAAACTTTTCCTCCATGTATATATCTTCATTTGTCTTTAGTTGTTTCTTCAATTTCCTTCTTTTCCGAGGTCAACAGTAGTTAATTGGAGACAAGTACCATGGTTTCTATCTCATTATTGCCTTATTATTTCTTTTGGATCTCTCTCAATGAACTTCTACTTTTTTCTGTTCTTTTTATTCTAAAGTATAATCAGAATTCTAATTGTACAATCAAAATATTTTTCATTTAACTTGTACTATATCTATATGTGTGTTATATCTTTATATATATGGATGCATTGGCTTATATAGGTGGTTCGTGACGACTTCACGAACATATGCATTGATTGTTGTGAAAATGACAAAACATTGTTTTGGTCTTTACCTCGGTACGTCCAAATTTTTCCTATACTAGATCGCTTTTTTAATTTATATGCAACTATACAAGACTATTTTAAAATTCAACTATAAAACACTTTTTGTCTTTATTATTGGTCAACATACCATTTGGGGTTTTATTATTATTTTACTAATTATTTTGATATGTTTTAAAAAAAAAAGATGAACTAATTCAATCTTTGAAAACTGATTAAAATTTAACATTATCATCCTTTATTCCTTTAGCTAACCTTCTGGTATATTATATAGTGACATTAGGAATATATTAGATTTGCTTATTTTAAATTAATGTTTATAATTTTTTGAAAACTTAGGTTAAGCTATGGGAAAGTTTTGCTCAACTAAGTTTAGTTAGAGGTAAGTTTACTTCTATTTTTCTTTTTCTTTTTCTTTTTTATCAAGAGGTAAGTTTACTTTAAAACGATTTTTTCTTGTACATATTAAGTTTCTATTTATTTTTATATAAAATTAAGTTTAATCACATACTCAAAGGAGCTTTAATTGCATAGAGTATATAGTAACGTTATAATTTATAGAACGTTGGAAAAACAAGGCTAATTAGCTATAGATGGACAACAAAGTGAGATAGACAGACGTTGGAAAAAAATGAGAAGACCACATAAAAAGAAGAAGGATAAAGCGAAGAGCAAATAAAAGGCACGTAAAAGATATTTGACAGTGACGGTTTTAAGAAAATTTAAGTCTCGTCGTTGTCTTCAATATGAAATGAAATTACACGTAATTAGAAACAATCTTCTTCCTGTATTTTAGATTATTACAGAAACCAATTTTCAGAGATCGTGACTCGTGACGGAGAGGGAGAGAGAGAGAGAGAGAGAGAGAGAGAGAGAGAGATGTGAATTGTGACGTGAAAGATACTGGTTGAAATATATTGAAGAAAAGCATCCATAAACCCAAAAAAGAAAAGGGTACATATGAAAGAAAAATATCATTCAATCTTTGAATACCTCTAATTTTCTCAGTTTCTCAAAGTCTCTATTTATACTTTCATATATGTAAGAGCTCTATAATATGATAACTAAACAAAACCAAAAAGCTATATATAGAAACATATAGACAACAGTTTTGTGTGTCATGTAGAGTAATTAATCTAATAACAAGATCAAAATTTACCTCGGTCGCAAGATAGAACAAATATGAAACTAAGACAAAAAAGGCTAAAGAGATAAGTAGGTTAGGGGGAATGAAGCCTGGTCCGAGAATCATCTAGGGTTTTCTTAATTTGTTCTTCCAAATTAATTCGAGTGATTCTCTTCTTCATGACCTCGAGCCAGACAACAATCCTCTCAACACTAAATCGCACAACAATGAATTAATCAAGACTAGAACCACGTTATCAAGAAGAGAAAAGAGACAAAAAAGAAAAGAGACCAAAGTTAAAGATAATGTGAATGTGATGAAACTTTTCGTAAGAAGAAGAAGAGAAAGAAAGGTATGTGTGAGACAAAATAAACCTATGTCTTGTATATATAGAGGCACAAATGACCACAACCCCAAGATTTATTCATTTAAAATATATCCTTAGCCAAAATAAGAGAAGACAAAGATGCATCTTAATTGTTCAGCATATACATCCAAGTGTTAGTAAACTCATCATGTATGTATTTATATATTCAAAGTGTAAATATTGAGTTAATGTGAGACTATCAAGTAGTATGATCACACTATTTGATACGACGAACATATATATATTTTCCTATGAGTGATCATAATTAAGCCAAAAGAAAACAGATTCACAAAACCAATTGTCTGATTTGGGTGTGAAATTGTACAAAACAAACTTAAAAGGCGAATTTGACAAATAGAAAAAAGAACTGGAAAGGACCGATTTCGAAAAATCTTGTCATTCTAGAGACTTTCAATAACGGGAAGACGTAGCATTCTTGCTATCCATCAGTTTCTTCTTCCTTGTTGTTGATCATCATGTGATTCCATTTACGAGTTCAATCTCTCCATGAAAAATCTAGTCTCTTTTCAAACGGAGAAGAAGAAGAAGAAGAATCCATCCATTTTAACTATCTAAATTGATCTCCTTTAATCACATTTTCTTTTGATTTCTACAAGTGAAAATGTTGACTAGAGCCATCGGACGAGTTCGAATTCCTGTGTCGAGGATTCAGGGATCGAATTGTACGAGTGGGCTTTTAAAAGATTCGAAATTGGGTCCGATTGGTGTTTGCTGTAGCAGATGGGTATCGAGCGAGAGCGGGAAACGATTTGCGGCGATGTGGGGAAGTGGAGATTACGGCAGATTAGGGCTCGGAAACTTGGATTCTCAGTGGACACCTGCCGTTTGCTCTGCCTTGAGTGATCACAGTATCACAGCTGTCGCTTGCGGCGGAGCTCACACTCTGTTTCTCACCGGTGATTTCTTCAGCTCCCGACTTGTTTTATATATATATATATATATATATATATATATATATTTTTTTTTTTATTTAGTGGATTATCCAGGAACTTTGAAATCTTAAGAGGTTGCAATGTGAGTAATAAAAGTAGAGGGAGAAGAATTGTGTTGACTATTGAGCTGAGAAATCCGGAGAATTGGCATCTCAATGAGTTGCTGAGATTTCATTCATTTTGGTATATGCCATTTGCAGATCATAGCTGCATATAATCAGTATTAGAGTGGTCTTCGTTGGATAGCATTTCTTGGCTTTGTTTAATTGGGCATGTGGTTGTTGAGTTGCGTTTTTGTAAAGTTATCATCTTTTGAATCAGTGATTGGTTTTGAAGAGTATCTGATAATAAGCTTACACATGTGACAGAAACGAGGAGAGTCTTTGCAACGGGTCTTAATGATTGTGGTCAACTTGGCGTATCAGATGTTAAAAGTCATGCTATGGTATGTTACTAATTGGTAGGTTGGTCAAAACACTATAGAGCTGCTGGTTTTTCTTTTCTTTTCCTTCACATGTCTTTATCTCAGATAATTCAATTATAAATTTGATATTTTAGGATCCGCTTGAAGTTTCTGGACTAGATAAGGATATTCTGCACATTTCAGCTGGTTATTATCACTCCGCTGCTATTACAGGTAAACAACCAGTAACCACAATGTTCTTCATTGAATTGTCATAACCTGAACCTTAAACATGATCTTGTTGAAATAGTATGGCACTCATATTTGCTCTCTTTCATTTCATTAGTTGATGGAGAACTCTACATGTGGGGAAAGAACTCAAGTGGACAGCTTGGACTGGGAAAAAGTACATCACTTTCCATTCAAACATTTATGCACTGCTATGCATGTCCTAATACATCAAGTTTCTTGCTCTATTTACATGTTCTTTTCCTTTATACATTTTTTTTCTTATGAAGAGGCTGCAAGAGTGGTACGTGTACCAACTAAAGTGGAAGCTCTGCATGGCATCACCATACAATCCGTGGCTTTGGGTTCAGAGCATTCAGTTGCTGTTACTGGTTTGGATCCTCGATTCTTATCTGGATACAGAAGAAAACACCTTTTTGTCTTTTAAGTACTCGGAGAAATCTGAGGGTATCTTTTTCTTGAGCAGATGGAGGTGAAGTCCTGAGTTGGGGAGGAGGGGGCTCTGGAAGACTTGGCCACGGTCACCAGTCCAGTCTTTTTGGCATCTTAAGAAGTAACAGGTTTGTTTTACTTAATTTCAATATCGTTTTGTCTCTTTCTCATGCATTTTTTGCTCACAAGAATTTTCCCATTTCCTCCTTTACTTTATCATGATTCCTTCATAATTTTCTTGTATTGCACTGTAAAGTATCCCCCTGATTGCAGTGAGTTTACTCCAAGGCTTATCAAGGAACTTGAGGGGATCAAGGTAATCTAGTGGTGAAGAATATCCACCTTGGATGAAGAGTTTCTAGTTACCTAGTGGTGGTTTTAATCTTTAGACTTTCATGCTTATGTTTTTCCATTCTTTCTGTCGAGCACTAGGTCACAAATGTTGCTGCTGGTCTGCTGCATTCAGCATGCACTGATGGTATTGATTTACTTTCTTAAAAGTATGAATGTTGTGCCATTTACCGAACTTTATGAGGTTTGTTTGCAAATGCAGAGAATGGCTCTGCTTTCATGTTCGGAGAGAAATCTATAAACAAGATGGTAAGAAAATGTCTTTTTCTTTGATTTCTGTGGTCATATATGTGAAGCTATCTGATGGGAAAATACAGGGCTTTGGAGGAGTAAGAAATGCCACAACACCATCGATTATCAGTGAAGTACCATATGCAGAAGAAGTTGCATGTGGTGGCTACCACACATGTGTAGTTACAAGTAATACTCTCTTATTATATCGTTCTTTCTTTGATATTGAGTTTGCTTGTATACTGCAAATGCCTGTCCTGCTCAAATTTCTTTTTGTTATTCTTTATAGAGGCCCAAAACTGCTCTTTAGTTTCTGCTAAATTTATGAACATATTGTGTTTGTAAGATGGTCGATAACAACTCATCGTTTGATGTTTCCTTCGTTTTTGGAAGGAGGTGGGGAGCTTTACACCTGGGGCTCAAACGAAAATGGGTGCCTTGGAACAGAGTAAGTTACATACCCCGAAAAAATAGAATGTTTCCCCATAAGATGAAAACAAGGTTCTTGAACTGTACCTATACTCTTATTTCAAAAAATTCAGTTCAACGTATGTCTCACACTCCCCTGTGAGAGTTGAAGGTCCTTTCTTGGAGTCTACTGTATCTCAGGTATCTTGTGGGTGGAAGCACACTGCAGCTATTTCAGGTAGCATCTCTTTTGAGTAAAACATATTTGTTTCCTCTCTCATTGTATAAGTTAATTCAACTCAATTTCTGAAACTTGTTTGCAGATAACAATGTCTTCACCTGGGGCTGGGGAGGATCTCACGGCACATTCTCTGTTGATGGACATTCCTCTGGTGGACAATTGGTTTGTTTCATCATCTTATCTTATTGATCAAATCTCTGAAACAACATTTTCAAGTGTCGAAGAGAATAAATATGGTATGCTTAATATGTAGGGCCATGGTAGTGATGTAGACTATGCAAGACCAGCAATGGTGGACTTGGGAAAGAATGTAAGAGCAGTGCATATATCTTGTGGCTTCAATCATACAGCAGCAGTTCTTGAACATTTTTGAAGACTCGGTCTCAAGTTAATATCATATACAGATGTTTAGTTTATTCTTGCTTAAACATCTATAGACTAAAAAAATAATAAGAAATTTACACTATTGAATAGCGATCAATTACACCATTGGTTCTAACTTGAACAATTTAGTAAATAGGTGGAATATTCTTGTCGTGTAAATTATTGATTTTATTTATTTATTTTTGAAAACTACAACAAACGATAGAAGAGTTGAGGAAATCTCTTTGTAATCATAATTATGAGAAAATTAAGATCGGCTCCGCTTCAAACACAGGAGAATCACAAACTGCAGAGAGGGCCTATTCAGCTATCCTCTCATTTTATAAGAGACTTTCACCGCACGTCTTCACTTCACGCCAACGCCCTAAAACCATCTTCTTCTATAACCTTTTCTTTGACGTCTCTCTACCACTACCAACAACTGTCGAGCTTTTCCTTTTCTTTGGATTATCGTTTTCTTGGCCCATATACTTGGCAGCACAAGATTTTTGAATCGCTTCCATGCTCTCGTCATCACGAGCCCACTCGAGCACCTGCAAAGACCTCATATAGAGAGAGTTGAGGAAGAATGTCAGAATGAACATGCTAGAGAGATGAGTACACAACATAAGACTTACCAAATGGCGTCCATAGAAATGGGTGTTGGAGAGTGCCTTTTTAGCGTTTAAAGCTTCTTGCATTGTCCCAAATTCTACAAAAGCATAACCAGCGTATTTTCTCACATTCTTCAATGGAAGCCCAACTCTCTTGAATCTGTCCAAATGGACTGAAAAGCTGTCTTAGTTCTTTCTTGGTTGCTTCAAAAGCTACATTTTTCACATGTAACTTTGCCAACTTTGTGACCTTGTCTGAACCTTCCCCAACCGTTTCACTCCGCTTGTTTTCAGAAAAATTCAAGATCAAAGAATGCCCATCCAGAACATTTCCCTACAAACAAACAAATCAGTGTCACCTTCCTTCATCGAGTCCAATCACCTTCAAGTTTCAAAGAGACTTAACTAGATTATATACCTCTACTGGTAGATCTCTGTAGACACTGGTCGCTGTCTCTACGGAGTCAAATTCTACAAAACCATAACCGCTTGAACGACGTCTCGTCCAGTCTCTTATTATCTGCTTTATAGTGAAAAATAAAGGAATATCAAAAACAGACTTATGATGGTTAACTGCATATCATCATCATCTGTAAGCA